CACATTCCTCTTTTTTGTGTGGGATTTGGAGGTGCCCAGATGAGGCCCAGCTGTGAAGCAATGCAAGCTGCAATGGGGCCTTGGGCCTTCTTTTTGATGTTCTGGGTCTCTCTGGCCCAGCTGCAGTTTGTTAGGTAATTTTAGATTGCAAAGGGCCAGGTCTTTCATATGGAAAAGCCTCTGCGCACAGCTTGGGTGGGGTGGGGTCTCAGGGAATCAACGGGGCAGAGCAAACAGCTGTGGCTGATCCTCAGTCCTGCCCTAAGAGACCCTGGGTCTCAGTGTCCCACGGTAATTGCTGCAAGCACCTCTGAGAGAAAGCCGCCCTCAAGTTCCGCCCACTGCCAGACAGTCCAGTTTCCCCCTATATGAGTATGGGTCCCCAGAGACTTGCCCGGAACTGGAGTTCAGAGCTATTGGGAGCTTGTGTCTCCTTCCCGATTGAAAAAGACAACCGCGTCCTCAGTTGCCAGGCCTTTCCACATGCACCTCCGTACCTCTGCACTTTACTTCCGCACCTCCTCTGGGTCTCAGTGTGCTTTTCTCTTTCCTTCTAGTTGTAGAATTTCCACTCAGCCAGCCTTCCTGTGGTTCTGGATGATGTCTGTTTTGTCTTTTAGTTGTATTTTTGAAGTGGTTGTGCAAGGCAGCAATTTCAGGTGTTTACCTATGCCGCCATCTTGGTTTCTCACCCGCTTTCCCATTTCTTTAGGCACAGCTCAGCTCTCGGCTCTAGAAGACCTTCCCTGGCCCTCAGGCTGAGCCAATTACCCCTTTTCTAGGCTCCCACAGCACACTGTACATAAGTATATGCAAACATTAGTGGTGATGGCAGTAATAGCTACCATGTATTGAGCACAGACTATGTGCCAGGTGTTGTATTGAAAACTCTGCACAAGTTATGTCATGCATGGCTCACAACAATCCGAAAGAGTCAGTAGTGATATATTCTTTATGTAGATGAGGACAGTAAAGCTTGAAGGTGTTATATAATTGACCCACGATCACACAGCCAGGAAGTGGCAGGTCTGGGATTTAAAACAGATCTTTCTTACTCCAAACGCATATTCTTAATAGCTGTAGTATATTTACCAAGCATTATTGACGTTATCTGCTTTTGTTTTTCTCCTAATCAGATTACAAACCCTCAAGAACTGCACTGTTTTGTTTTCTTCCTCCAGATCCTATCAAGATGGTGCTTTAGAGAAGAAAGAAACAAAATACAAAAACATGCTTATTTTTGTTAAATGTACTTGAATGTTAAATGTGTTTTGTAATGAGCAGGATTTATTGTAATTTTTTTTTTACTTAATATATTATAAAACTGTAAAAACCATATACAGGTACTGCTGGGTAGGTTATTCTGGATCTTTATGCTTTAGGATTTAAATCAAATATTATATGAAGAAATGTTTGTAATTGGTAACCTAACATGATAAATATCAATAAATATCCATATGGTAACTCAAGACATGCCATTAATGATATCATTAGAATAATTAGAATGCTCTTGTAGATATACAGGGAAGTCAAACTGCTGGTGTTAGGCTTTCAGAATGACAGCCACCTACCTTTAGCTGCTCCCAGAGGAACAACCCAGCGTTCCTCCCTTTCCCCAGTGCAGGCCCCAAGGTTTCACCAGCAATCCCTCCTCTCGGGACTCTGGCTCGGTTTTTTTCTTATGGTAGGGTAAGACCTTTACAGTGGTAGGCAGTTCACTGAGGAACTATTTAAATTATTACCTAAACTTAAGGCCTAGGGAGGCTGAACTGTGGGTACATTTTTATCTTTCAGGAGGGTTTGCTAAAAGAGCAAGCCAGGATGTTCTCTGTGTCACCTCCCCTGATAGAAGTCTTCACTGCATTCTTTTCTTTAGAATTCAAATGAAGACAAAGGGCTAAATTAGCTTATTCGTTGTCCTGCTCTTTTCAGACTGAGCTAACTGCATCGCCCCACTCTGATTAATATGTAGGCCTGTTTCAGATCCCAAGCAGGGCACTTGTGTCTAGATGAAAGTATGCTGGTAAAATTAGGTAGTATAATGACTTGACAGTCTGATCATTAGCTGGCAGTGAATATTTTACTCTGTAGTATCTAAGATCCACATTTCTTTGGTTTAGGTAACCTTACTTAAATAAAATGTTTTTTAATATTGTTTGTCTTGTGTAAAAATGACACTTTGGCGCCCTAGCTGGTTTGGCTCAGTGGATAGAGTGTCAGCTTGCAGACTGAAGGGTCCCAGGTTCAATTCCAGTCAAGGGCACATGCCTG